CCAAACAAAACCCCCCCCCCCCCCCCCCTCCCCCTGCGCCCAACCATTCCAACCGCCTTCCAATCCTCCCCAACACACTTCAATTCGGCGTAAGCTTCAACAACCTCCCCCCAGCCCCATCCTCAATCACCCAAATCGCACCCTCCTTATCCTCCCGAATACCTCTCATGCGTTTACCCATGCTGATGCGCTGTGCCTCCGCCGCCGTATCGCCAGTGATACTAACCCTCACAAGCCCTTGTGCGCTAAGCCCCGTGATAACCGCATTCCCCTTCCACCCCTTAAAAAGATCCCCCTTATACAGAATCAGACCAGCAGGCGAGATAACAGGAACCCAATTCGCCTTCGGCGCAGCCATCTCCGGCCTCGAACTATGTTTCGGTATCAACGTGCCATTGTAATGCCGTCCCTCACACACAACCGGCCATCCGTAGTTCTTCCCCGGCACTATCAAATTCAACTCGTCACCGCCAAACGGCCCCATCTCAACCTCCCAAAGCCGACCCTGGAGATCGAAATCGATACCTAGGGGATTCCGGTGGCCGAGCGTGTAAATCTGAGATTGAATAGCGCCTTGACTGGCAAATGGGTTGGACGGGTAGGCAGTCCCGTTATCGTAGAGACGGATTATCTTGCCTAGGTTGGAGGTCATGGATTGGGCGGGGTGCATTTGGTTTATCTCGCCGGAGGATATGTACAACGCGTTGTCTTCAGGACCGAATTTCAATCGGCATGCGAATTGAAGGCCGCCTGTGGCGCGCTGAGAGTGCCGCCAGATGACTTCGAGACCGGAGAGTGCGCCGCTGCTACCACTCAGACTTAGCTTGGTGCGCGCGACTGCGCAGCCTGCGCCGCCGGAACCGTTCTCGGCGTAGCTGATGTAGACGATGCTGTTGTTGGAATAGTTGGGGTGTAAAGCGATGTCGTGGAGACCGCCTTGACCGGCGTACGCGACGGCGGGGACGCCGGTGATGCTGGCTTTTGTTTTTGTGGCCGGGTCGACGAGGAGGAGGGTGCCTTTCCGCTCGGTGACGAGGATGCGGGTGTCGGGGAGGAAGGCGAAGGCCCAGGGTTCGGAGAAGTCGGTTATGGGTGTTGTTTTGAAGGGTTGTTGGCGGGTGGATAGGTGGGGTGATAGGGCCAGGGCGGTTGTGGATAGGGATAGGGCTAGGGCGTATGTGAGGGTGAGGGTGGGGTGCATGATGGAGGCGGTTTGTTGAGTTTCTAGATATCGAGTTTTGATATGGTGGGGTGTTGAGGTTGCTCACTGTGTAAAGAGCCGCTCAGGTTGATCTGCTCCCCAGAAAAGGTAGGTGTATGAGCGACGGAATGCCTGGAGCAGCCTCATATACCATTCTAGTTCCTCCCGGCCTGTGACGTCTTGATGTGTACATGATTTCAGTTAGAGTAGTTGCACTTTACGACCCTGGTAGTGGTGGTATGTGTGTTGGTGGGGCAAGACTTAGAGTGTGATACAATCTTGGAAGTCGTAAGGGATTCGATGCCGGACAATTACCTGCCTAAGGTAGGCGATTGGCGCGCGGTAACTATCTAGGTAGCTATTCCCGCTATAGCACTGCTCGGTAAGTAAGAGCACATAAGTGCCGCTATATTAGAGAAAATACGTGCAAGCATAATAGAGTAGCCAAGGCCTTCACGTGGGTGCTTGAGATGCCGACGGAGGATTCCAAGGCTAGGCGTAACGATAGAGCGCGGCACATGTTTTAACTGCCCGTTTTGGCGCGACCTACATTTGCAAGGTTAGATTAGTAATTTTCCGTCAACCGATATTGAACTTGCGTCACAACACAGCTTCATGTGCCTTCAAACACAACTACTTCCACGAAGACGCTGCCTGCATAAGTTCAACGGACTGTTCCAGGCTTTTTTCACACAACAACAAGTACGCATGTCCTCAATGTACGGGAGTGTAGCACCAATATCCTGTCGATTCCAGCAAAAATGCTTTATCAGTATCATTCATCTCGGTCTTGCCGTGGATATAACGCCCCCGCTCACCTAACCTCCATCTCCATATCCTCCTCCTCAATCGTAGGCAAAACCTGATACATCCTCTTCCCCTTGCCCATCCTCTTCAAGCACCGATCCGTATGCAACAAGTGCCCCCTCTTCTGCCTTACAAAGCCCGCAAAACACGCCGCACTTGACGCAATCGCACCCGCTGAGATATAAATCGGTATGAAGAAGTCCTGCGGCTTATACCAGATCATTGTCGTCGCAAAAGAAAGCAGTTCGAACAGGTTCTGTAACGACATCTCGATAGCGGAGAAAGAGCCACGAGAGGCAGGTGGTGCGTCTTCTTGAACGAGGTATTGGACGCTGAGATCGAAGCCCCAGAGACCGAGGCGGGAGAGACAGACGCCAATTACGAGGGCGCCGCCGGCTAGCATCGGTGCTGTGGTTGTGGGGAAGAGGTGGAATAGGCCGATTGCCAGGGCGATGGCGAGGAGTTGTTCGTTGATGAACCAGAGACCTGCTCGTACGGCGCCGATTTTGTTCATGAGCCACGGCGCTGCGATGGTGGCGGATAGTTCTAGGATAACGGATACGAGCCGCATGACGGAGACGTGCGTGCTGGTGAAGCCGAGGGTGAGGAGGTAGGTCGTCATTTGCGAGGCGAAGGAGAGGACGGTGAGGTAGAGAAGGGAGAGGGAGAAGGAGGCCAGGAAGGCGGGGTTGGTGATGTATTCGCGATACGGCGCGAGGTGTGCGGTTAGAGTTTTGGTGATGGTGGAGCGGAGCGTAGTGGTATTTGGTGCGGTATCCTGGTTAGGCGATGAGGCTCGCTGTTGCAGTTCCGTAGCAATGTCCGTTTCAGACGCTTGTTTCGTCACGACGCCCTTTCCAACACTTAATTCCGGTACCGCGGCATAGACGTTCGCGATGGCGAAGTATTCTACCAACACGCTTATCGCGTTTTGTGCGAAGACGGCCCAGATGGCGAGTTTGGTGGAGTATCCGTCTACGAGTCCGATGCCCACGGGCGCGATGAGCTTGCAGATGAGATCTATCCTGCGCATCGCGCTGTTCAGCTCTTGACGGTCGACAGATAGACTCTCGGACACGACGACAATCCAGTCGCGCTCCACAGATACGGTGTTGGCGACAAATGCGAGTTTCTCGATGCATGCCAGCACCACGCTGATGAGGAATAGTCCGTAGATAACCATCCCAATATCCTTCTCTTCTCCACCTAAACCCAGCATCGCTACCAAAATCGCACAACTCCCCGCTACACTAACTCTTTGCCACACAATACTCTGGCGCACAACCCATAATCTATCTCTCCGGTCGACCAGCCCTCCAATCCATGATCCGAGGACGGCAGCGGCGAGTGACCGGAAAAGCGCATAGCATGATGCGAAGAATAGCGTGCCAGGAAAGATTTTGGCTAGGAAGATCACAGCGCCGAATTCAAAGGTGCGCGCATTCCACGTCGAAAGTAAATGTGAAGTGTACAGCTTGGTGAGGAGGTGGCGGGGTGATCGTCGCGTGGGCGATGGTGTTGATCGGGCGGGGTAGACTGGTTGTGGTTGGGTTGGTGAGGCCGAAGGAGAGCTGGCCTCGCTCGTCGAACTCGTCATATCGTCACAAGGTGTGTAAGTAGAAAGAAGCAAAAAGGCAAACCGCCCTCACAGCGAAAAAGAAGCTACATATCGTGTCGCAAGGTTTAGCTGCCTAATACCGTGATGGTCATGAGACGGGTGCCCGATGCTGTGGGAAACGGACGCCTGGGCCTTCCGAGTCGCCTCATGGATTGCGTTTGCACGTGTGGACCCTGTCGATCTGATGGATGGGGTTAGGCGGCGTTGGGTTAGCGTCGCGAGGATTGATGGATTTGATAGATAGCAGGGCCGAGTGTACATGAAGAAATGTTCCTCAAGAGCTGTCGAGACGGGATCGTTGGTTTGGTGGATAGTGGTGGGTGTGATGGATGATGGGTCTTTGCTGTCATGTTGAGTGTGCCAAGACTTCATGGTTGACGGGAACCTTGAATATCGCCGTTATTTTGCATTTGTAGCCCACGTCTGTTCATCCTCATGCTCTTTAAACCCGAGTAAGCATCATCCCAAGTATGCCCAGAGGGCGCTTAACTAGAGAGCTTGGTCTAGTAGCCATAGTACCCAGGTACTTAGGTAGCTGTGTTATGATTGCACGTAGTTGCAACTCTACTTGATCAATGAGTAGAAACGCTTGTCTCATAACATTGAAAGCATGCGCAGACCACGATGCTTAGTATGTATTGAGGTAAGGTATTTCGATGTTTCCCAGTGATAGTGTGGAGCATTGAACTGCAAAGACAACGTCGGTGTTGCGAGGGTGTTCTTAGCGCGAACCCTGGATCTTGGAAGGACGCGTTTCCTAAGGTCGGTCCATCCTCCAACAGACTTCCTTCCATGCAGGTCACCATATACTGTCAATGGCACTCGATTGTCCTGTCGCGGGTTCATGGCTTTGCGCCTCCTTCTCACTTTTCATGAAGATGTTCGGCTATACGGCAAGGCGTCAGACGCTTGGCCAGGACGTGCTCGTGCATCCACCTACATGACGCGTACCTAGGTCGCATGCCTCCAACCTTGGAAGGCTGATAACACGCACACAGGCTCCCTTTGCTACGAGGAACGAATGAGACGCTCTCTACAGCGTGTCAGAAGGGGTAAGCTATCTCATACGACCCCATAGTCATCACGAAGCTGACAGTCGCAGGATGGCTCGTCCTACCACTCGGCAGACACCCCGCTCGCTTCCAGCCTCCGCCCGCCTTTTTGCAGCCCACGAACAATACTCAATCAGTAACACCACGAAACAACGCCCAGCACGATGGAGACAAGCAAGAGCGAAGCAAGTTTGCAAGGAGCGTGCTTGAAGGAAGCACGGTAGCCCTGATATCGCTCTTCGGCCTGGGCCTTGGCGGCTATGCCTACAGCCTGTTCTACAAGCGGACCGTCGCGAAGAAAATTGAGAATGCCTTTGCCACGGGATACAGCTCGCAGGAGCGGGTTGCGTTGGGTCGCATCTCCTACGGCACGGAGCCAGACAAGATACAAGAGATCGTAGAGAGGGAATACTGGGTTCCGCGAGCGGAGCAGGAGGATATTGATAACGTCGTCAGCGGAAGAGCCAGAGGAAGATACTATCTGGTCATTGGCGAGCGAGGTACTGGCAAGCGTGCGCTACTCCTAGAGGCTATGCGGAAGGTCAACGGCGACGGCATTGCTATGCTGGAAGCACATAACGATCTGGAAGTCTTTCGAACGCGACTCGGCAAGGCCATCGACTACGAATTCCACGAAGACTACATTGGAGGACTTTTCAGCATTCGGGGCCCTAGGGACAGCTCGCCGCTACTGGACATTGAGAGAGCGCTCAACCAGATGGAGAAGGTAGCCTTGTCGCTGCGAAAGCGTCGCGGCAAGCCTCTTCTCATGATCATCAACAACATCCATCTGTTCAAAGACGACGAAGCGGGGAAGCATCTACTGGAGATCTTGCAACAGCGCGCCGAAATCTGGGCTGGCAACGAGCTTGTCACAACCGTCTTTACGTCCGATGAATTCTGGACTTTGGAACGATTAACACCGCATGCGACCAACATGCACGTCATCAGCGTCAGAGACGTACGGAAGAACGTGGTAACCACCGCACTCAAACAATACCGCGCTCGCTACCACAACGAAAACGTACCCCAGAGCATCCTCGACGAAGTCTTCGCCAAAGTCGGCGGCCGACTAATCTTCCTAAACCAAGTCGCCAAATCCCACGACATGCTAGAAACCTGCAAGCAAATCAACCGAAGAGAGAAAATGTGGTTCCTAAACAACTGCTGGATCCTCGGTGACTCCATGGATGACGACGTGGAAGAACAGCAAAAATACTGCGCCGCTGCCATCGTCCTAGCACGTGCCCTTGTACTCCGCGAGAACGAGACACCCGCTTCGGATGATCAGTTCACGCTTCCCCAGATTCCGCTACACGAGGCCCGCCAGATTATCACGCGCGCCGACTTTGTGCACCCGTTCGATCACATCAACGTTATTCACATCGATGCGCATGGTATGGTAAGAGCAGATTCTGTGCCGATGCAGAATGCGTTTAGGGAGGTTGTCCAGCAGCCAGGCTTTGAGGAGCATTTGAAGGCGACGCTGAATAGGTTGGATGAGCTGGAGAGTTTGGCGAGGACGAGGGAGGTTGCGATGAGGGATCCGCCGGATAGGAGTGGGGGGATTGTGCCGGTGCAGACGTATTGCGCGAAACTTTGAGAGGGTGAAGAGGTGGGTTTGTAGGTAGCAGACCGCGCGGATGTCGTGCGTGTGCTGCCTGTGGCGGTTGTCGCGATCCCGTGCATGCTAGCACAAACATCGAAGTGGTATACAGTCAGCTTCGCATTCGTCTCCTCACAGCAAGTCTTTCTCCTCGCCTTCATCTTCAGCAGCTTCCATCGCGCCATGTCCTTATTAGACCTCCCAAAGGAATTGCTCAGTAGAGTGTGTCGTTTCATCGGTCTCGATCACCAGAGGCGAAAGTACGAGCACAAAGACTTCGGATCCCTACGCCTCACGTGCAGGGAACTGTACAACCGGACAACTTACGATGCGATTATCCGATACGGCCCTATGCTTCGCGTGCTAAAGATCAAGTTCACTTATCCGTCCCTCTGTCGGATCTTGCAAATCGTCAAAATTGAGGAGTTCCGTGATCGAATTGTGGCACTGGAATTGGATCCGTACACAAGCCTAGACGTCCTGGATCCATCATTACCACCTCACCCAGGCGATGAAGAGAGAGAAATGTTCACCGATTCAAGTGAAGCCGTTCTTCTTCTAACAGAGTGCTTGCGGTGGTTGGCCAAGGCGAAACGGCTTGTACAAGTGCAGCATTCCAGGTCTGAATCAATCCATGTTTCTTTGGCGGCTTTAGTGGAGGCTCAGTTCCCGGTCAAGCTTGATATCGTGTACGCATCCCCGCGTGCCCTCATAGCTCCGCCGGGTCACGGAGATTTTGGACGATCGCCTGCGATTTACGTTCCCTACATCAGGTGCATCTCAACAGATGGAGGTGTTCCAGGGGTGCTGGATTATGACGAGGAACTCATCCGGGAGCTGGGCGAAGACAAGAACGAAGTAGGCATCCACATTAAAAAGTACCGCCTTCGCCAGCCAGCCGTCGCTGCCTTTTGGTTCGGTCTGCGTGATATCGAGAACCTGCACATCTCAGGCTGCATATGCGACCCATACTTGCGCTTCTGTAACGCATGCGATGACACTTTTACCCACATCTTCAATGTCGCCTTCAATCACTTAACGGTTTTCCATCTGTTCAGTATGTACGTTAGCGGTGGCCGCCTTCGAAGGTTTCTCCGAGAGCAAGGTCACACACTCACTCAGTTGGAATTCTCAATGAATGTCTTGACTGATGGTTCATGGAAGACTATTGCACAAGGGCTGCAGAAGCTACCTTTCTTGCGTGGGCTTACTCTCGACCATGATCTTTTGCAGAAAGTTGCCGTCCCAAGACTGCAAGGCCAACAGATACCTGTGTATCAATGCGAGGACCCCGAGGATGACGATGCGGACGGAGACAAAGTTCGTCACTATCTGGCATTCTTTATCGAGAATTTCTGCACCTCGAGATATACGGGTAGTAGATATTTGCCGTGGCCTTTGCCACATTATCACAAGGTGGATCTCCCGATCTTCCAGCTGACTTACGGCCCGGAGACTATTGACCGCGACCCTGCTAATCAGGCGCTGGAAAGGTACGTTATGGAAGTTGAAGGGGAGTAAAGGTAGAGAGAGAGAGAGAGCAAAATACAACGAGCTCGAAGCCGGGTCAGATCTCGCATGTCACTGATCACTAAGATTTGTCAAGAAATGTATGTCAATTGCGCGCACCAACGGAGCTTGATGCCGCCGAAGAGGACCAGACTTGCACTGTACAGCGTTCGAGGTGTTTGGAATATGTACCTGCATCGCAGTCATTATCTATAAACCCAATAGAAAGCTTCGTCTTTTAACCTGAGTATTAGCATAGCCAAGGACTAACAGAGATCTTGACTGTTGGTGAGCAGATTGGCTGCGGGCGGCACGGCAGGTGAGCTTCCGGGCAAGATGACGTCAGCAGCTTCTGCAAGCGAGCTGCGAGCTTCATCTCCAGCTACCCCGAAGCTGCTCTCCTCATCACGAAATACCTCAACACCAGCCCTTGG